AGGATCCAGTACGATCGCGCTCCATGTGGTAGAAGCCGTAAGAAGACTTGCACAACAGCCGGTTCGCCGGAATGATGGGCAGATCCACGCGCAGCTCGGACTGTTGTATCTCTGCAACCGGTTAAACAATGCAGTCTTTGTCGTGTCCTCAAATGTTTCTGTGTTCGTGGCCACTTGGATTTTTTTGCCATAATCACTGACCAGTCCGAAGCTCTGACAAGTATGAAGCCGAACTCCAAGATGGCTCCCTTCCGCATGTTAACGCCCTTCGGAAACCGAAATCCACCAACGTTATGCACTCGTACTTGGAGGGCCAGGCTCGCGTCTCCAGCTCCGACACGAAGTCTGCGTTTCAGATTTCCAATGGCCACTATGCCAAGTCCTGCAAAGCAGTTGAAACTGTGGTCAGGTGGCAAATACCTCACCTTCACGCCAGAACACTCCAAGATGCATCTGATAGCATTGTTCACTATCATGTCCTCTGGCTTCTTGGTCGTTAGCCTCCAGACCTGCTCTATTATGGAAGCTCCCACGCAGCCAGCCATGCCGTGGGCGATCGTGTGGAACGCTTCGCGCTTTCCGTTCTTGGCTCCTGTGGCAAAGAGATAAAATGTCAGCCATGCTCGCCAATGGAAAACACGCGTGAAGTTCTCCGGCGGAGGAGAACACGTTCTCTCTTGAGCTGGTGCTGTCTGATTTCCAGACAATCACCGGCACGGATCTCAGCGTACGCATGGATGTGACCTCAGTCAAACAGTCAAACATCGCAGCAACTGTCACCTTCTCCCCCTCTGTTGCCTCATTCAGCATATGGACGATCTCCCATCCTCCATCCTGTAGGGCATTCTTGTGTTCTGTGGACACCTCCAGGAATTCTGCTGGCGATGGAACACAGAACTGGTCAGCTTCTGTGGGCCTGAGCGCTTTGGATTTTTGGGTGCGGATTTTTGTTTTTGAAGTTTTTCAGCCGGGCCGGTAAAATGTCGTATTTTACAGCTTTTCTCACGAAATTGACGCATTTTACACTAGCCCGTCAACATCCCCAGCATCGTTTTCAACATCCCCCGCATGTCCAACCAACATCCCTAGCATTACCACATATCGTGGGTAACAAAATCCAAAAAGTAGCTGGCGGGTTGACGGGGTCAAAAAATAATTATTCAAACAGGAGGGCTTTTTCAATCCCAGAAAGAAAATAGAAAAAAGAAAGAAGAAAAACACAAGCGGGGGGGTTGGGGGGGGCTGCCGCCCCCCCTATGATGTTCGAAGAATTGTGCAATTAAATCTCTGTAGAAAATCTAAAACGTAGCGGGGGGGCTGGGGGGGGGCGGCAGGCCCCCCCATGATGTCGGAAGAAGTGATGATTCAAGTAGAGGTGCAATATAGGGTGCGATAGAATTTAAAAGGCAGCGGGAGGGTTGGCGGGGGTGGCTTCCGCTATGATGTTCGAAGAAATGCATACATACAGACATACATGGATTACACAGATTACCTAACATGTCGTATTTTGTAGTATGTTTTCGCGAAATTGAACGCTCGAAAAAGTGATGATTCAAGCAGGGGTGCAATTCAATCTCTGCAAGAAATCCAAAAAGTAACGGGGGGGAGGCGGCAACCCCCCCATGATGTGTGAAGAAGAGTTGATTCAAATAGGGGTGCAATTACTCTGCAAAAATCTAAACAGTAGCGGGTGGTTTGGGCGGGGGGTTCCCCCCCCATGATGTGCGAAGAAGTAATGATTCAAATAGGGTGGTGGTGATGCTGATGATGCGGGAAGCCAAATTCAAAAACCAATGAAAGGGCGCAAAAGCCAAAAGGATGCGAAAAGCCAAAGCCGCCAAAAGCCGCCAAAAGCCGCATAAACCAGCGAAAAGCCGCAAAGCCAAAACGCCACCTGCCGAAGAGGAACTGGGAATGCAGAGGATGCGAAAAGCCAAAAAGCCACCAAAAGCCGCATAAGCCAGCAAAAAGCCGAAAAGCCCAGAAGCCCAGAAGCCGAGAAGCCAAGAAGCCGAGAAGCCAAGAAGCCAAGAAGCCAAGAAGCCAAAAAGCCAAAAAGCCAAGAAGCCAAGAAGCCAAGGAGCCAAGAAGCCAAGAAGCCAAGAAGCCAAAAGCGGAAAAAAAAAACCTAAAATCAATACCCCTCCCTGGATTTTCCTCTCGTGTGACCGCCTATGAGATCTGAAGGAGCGGAGCCTGGGAGGTACTGTACGCGGGATCGCTTGAGCCGTAGTGGAGGGAGTGAATGAATGAGCGAGTGAGAGAGAGAGAGAGAGTGAGTGAGTGAGTGAGTGAGCGAGTCAGAGTGAGCCCTGCGCCTGCCACGAAATCTGCACTCACACGTCCAAAATGCCGCGCCTGCCACATAAACAGCGCCCCTCAGCCGGCGCGCGCGACAACATCCATTCGCCTAGGGACATCTCAAACGCTGCCCCTGCCACGAAAGCCCTCCGCTAGCACGCGCCACAACATCCACTCCCTCCAGATGTCTTCTTCTTCATCTCAAACCCTGCCACGAAATCCAGTGGTCGCATATCGAAAGTGCTGCGCGTCCAAAATGCTGCACCTGAGACGAAAGCATGGGCCCTCAGCCAGCGCGCGCGACAACATCCAGTCCTTCAGAGACTTTTCAACAAGGGTCCGGATTTGTGTTGGAATTGTTCCAGTTTTGTTTTGGGCATTTTTCGGGGACTTTCTGTCTTTTTCTGCTGTGGATTGACTCGTTTTGCACCAGCGCTGTCAACATCCCTGCATCGTTTTAACTCGGCATCCTTTTCAATATCCTCAGCATCACGAGTTGGCTGTGATAGGCTGGGTTCAGAGTGGGCTCAAGGTTGGCTAGGGTTGGTTCAGGGTGGGTTCCAGCTTGTTTAGGGCAAGTTTGGGGGTCGCTGCGCCTTAGGTACTGGGATGGCTTAGTGCTGGTTTGCTCTGGGCTTCGTGGGATTGGTTGTGGGCTGGCTTTAGAGTTGGGAGGGGAGGAGAGGGGAGGGTAGTGGAGTGAGTCAGAGTGAGTCAGAGTGAGTCAGAGTGAGTGAGCGGGAGGGAGGCGGCACGCGGACGATGAGCGGAACAAGTAAGAACCCAACACAAAGATGTGGGGAATAAAGACATGAAGGGAGAAAGTATGAGTGAATGAATGAATTGAACTGAATTGAATGAATGAGTGAATGAAGGACTGAATGAATGAATGAATGAATGAATGAATGAATGAATGAATGAATGAATGAATGAATAAATGAATGAATGAATGAATGAGTGAGTGAGTGAGTGAGTGAGTGAATGAATGAAGGGAGCAATGAATTAATGAATGAATGAATGAATGAATGAATGAATGAATGAATGAATAAATAAATGAATGAATTAATGAATGAATGAATTAATGAATGAATGAATGAATGAATGAATGAGTGAGTGAGTGAGTGAGTGAGTGAATGAATGAAGGGAGCAATGAATGAATGAATGAATGAATGAATGAATGAATGAATGAATAAATGAATGAATGAATTAATGAATGAATTAATGAATGAATGAATGAATGAATGAATGAGTGAAGGAGTGAATGAGTGAGTGAGTGAATGCATAAGTGAATGAGTGAAGGAGTGAAGGAGTGAATGAAGGAAGGAAGGAATGGATGAATGAATGCATACTGGCATGCCACTGCTCCGCCCACCAAAAAAACCAAGCAACTAAGCAACTAAGCAACCCAGCAGCCAACCCAACCCAGGCTCCCAGGATTAGCCCTGTCTGTGCCAGGGCTAGGCCCAAAGCAGAAAAACAACTTTCCGCACCCACACAGGGGCAAGGGTCACAAGGCCATAGGGCCATGACGCAACGAAGCCTTGGCGCGCTCCCGCACGTCGGTGGCTAATGCCACCAGGAGCCACGGCACCTCTAAGCCCATGTCCCAGAGCTTGGGCCTTGGGTCGCTGGGTCCCTGGGTCCCCCCAAAAGCGCCATGTGACTAGGATTCCGGCAGCCACTTGCGGATGCTGGCCACGGTCTCTGGCTGGTCCGGTCGAAAGCAAAGAAGCAAAACCTGCACTTGTCACACTGACTGGAGTTTGCAGTGGAGTTTGCAGAAGTGTCGCCAAATGTCACCAAGCAGCATGGGCAGAATGGATTGCGGCTGTGCGCATTGCTTCGAATTCTGCTCCTGGAGCCCAAGGAGCGCAGAATTTCTCAGCCCTCTGGCTGTCCTGCTGCACCGTCTGTGAAGCACACCCGGCATTGCTCACCGTCGAGTTCGACCATGGCAACCTCCAGGCCAGATTGCGAACATGGCCCGTTGCCGTCTTCAGAACAGACTGCTTTGCTGCACTATGTTCGACTCCCTCGGCCAACGGTGCCCACCATGCTCTGCAGGTTGGGCAGCGGCTCAACTGCATGTGTCACATCATGTGCCAGGTCCTATGGCAAGCGCCGTCAAGCCACAAATCCGATCGGCAATCAAAGCAATTGTGCTCCTTGGTGGTAGCTGCGCTTGCCACTTGACGGTAGCATTGTAAGAACGACGACTGGCCAATGCCAGGGTCGCCGAGCATGCAAACATTCAAGCAGCGATCGGTCATGGCCCTGACGCCTCGGTAATGAGAAATCAAAGGACGTCAAAGGACGTCAAAGGAGTGAAGGAGTGAAGGAGTGAGCAGTGACAGCTGACGAATGCGGGCCCTTCAAGGCTTGGGGCTCCAACTCTTCGCCAGTCCAAGCCCGCGCCCCGTGAGCCCAATAGGCTGCGGCTCGGTCTTTGCCATTCAAGTGCGCCGGCTCGCTTCAGTCGCGTTACTGTCGCTGTTGCCGCTTTTCTCGCAGCTGTCGGGTCTTCTCTTGCGCCTCGTGCCCACCCGAGAATTCGAGCCCGGGAGGGTCAAAAACAACGGTCCGTGACATTGACACGTCCTGTTGTCGAATGCCTGAAACAGCCCGCGGAGCCAGTCTGCAGGAAAAATGTGCTTACAGCGCCAAGGCTGGCCTTGGGCCACCTGCGCGTAAGTCACATGTCACAAACTAATAAGCAGCCTGCGGTTCTCATGCAGCATCTGTCTGAAGGTCCCCATTTCATCTACCGCGGAGTCCTCCTCGATTCCGAGGGTACCCTCCGAGCTATCGCTCTGACCTTGGGCAATGGCAATCAAAAGCCAGGGTCCAACTCATGCTGACGGCCCCACTGCTTTCGATGATCAAGCTCAATGGGAGCGGGTCGGCCTCAAGTAGCTTCTACTGTCCCTGGCACGCCTTCACATGCAGCCAAGGATCCGCTTGCTCGACCTCAACGGCAGCTTCACGAGATTCACGTGCAACTCTCTTCCTGCAAGCAGTCGGTTTGGTGATTCACCCCCGGAGGCAGCCGTGTCCTGTGAGCCCTCTTCGACCTGTGCTGCTTTCTTCTCTCCTCCTTTTCTTTGGCAGCTTGCCCTTGCCAGCGAGTCGTGGCCACGCATTGCTACGCACTCATCGGTTTACCAGTTTATGCTCATGGCAAGTCAGCCAGTAAGCCGCCAGCGCTTTTTGCGTTCCAGCTCCATCACCCGCAGTTTCGCCTTACAAGGTGGAAGGCTCAGCATGCTACGCAGCCTACTCCGGCACAAACTGACAGCTGATTTCAAAGATTTCAAGCGCCTTGATGGTATCACCGCGTTCCGGATGAGCCGTTCCTCGCACATTTGTGCAGACACTCAACAGACGCGCTGAACTCGATCTTCCTTCGCTGGTAGCTGCTGCCAGTTGAAGGCGCTCCAGGGCAGAAGGGCTAAGCTGATGCCGCCACTCCTTCCTCAGATTGCAAAAAGAGACACTGACAGTCCTTTAGAGTAAAGGGTCCATTTTCATTCCTTTGGATCGCGCTGTATCGCACTTCAGCTTCACCAGTCTTGCCAACCTCGGCCAGGGCGCTCAGGATTCGAGAAGTCGAGCTCCCTTACCAGCAAGTTCTGCAGGAGTTGGGAGAAGCCTCGGCGAAGGTTCTATAAGTCGCTTGGCTCCTTGACCTTTTCTGCTTTCTCCGTCATAGAACTTTTTGATAGAGAGCTCTCTGTTCTCTCTCTGAGTGAGGGCACCGGCGAAGTCCAGCTTTGCAACTTCCGCCAGCATTGCGAAGATCTCCTGCAAGAAAGGGCGCGGGACGGGGACCTCAATGGACCTCATGCAGTTCGAAAACATTCCGCACCCGAGGCCGAAGTTGCATTCTGGCGAGGTTACCCCGCATGGAACGCAGTCCGTCCACGAAATCAAAAAAAAAGTTGACACCATGAAACGCAGCACCAGTTCAACAAAATATGTTGCAAACAACTCCGTCAAGCTACAAAATGCCGTGGAACGCAAGTCACTGCCAGAGAGTAATGCACAGTTGTTCAGCCTTGGAAAAGGAAGCGAACCCCTATGGAACCCAGATTCAACAATGCTCCACTGTGCCAAACTGCCCGAAATGTGCAAACACAAATATTATCTACCTTTGGCTTGTGACGAGACCCTGGCCCGCATGCGCTGGATGAGACATGTCTCATTCGAACAACAGAAAACAACCTACGAGAAGCGCCAGCGACTTTGCCAAGCTTCAAACCCCGATTTCAGCAAGTCGTACTCCAGTGGCAGATGTTCGGGACTCCTCGGAAGAGGCCACTCGGCTCATGAAGACCGACAGGTCTGCAGTGGAAATCACACCGTCCTGGCACGCCGATACGTTGAGTCCAAATGAGTCCAATGGCTTCACTCATCTTCACTCCGCCTGATCACGGTCCAGAGTCTGGAAAACCTTCCACCCCAGGTCCGATGCCAGGACTTCCTGCATAACTGTCTTTCAGTCAATTTCAGTCTGTCTCTCGGCCGTGCTCGGCGCTCCTTGGCACCGACTGCTATGCTGACGAAGGCAGTGAAATCCAACGCGCCCACGCCATCAATGTCAGCCTGGGCATGCTATCGGCTGCAAGGTTCGCATCTTCGCATGAATGAAACGCCTCCACCAGCAAGCGGTCAAGGTCAGGTGGATCCTTGCCTCGGGACTCAAACTGGCTCGCATTGCATTGATCTGCTGACTCCCTTACTCCCTCGTTCTCGCTTGCCATCAAAGTGGCATCCCATCTTTGGCAACCTTTGCCTGAGGTCTTCCACCTCAGAAGAAATCGCTGCCCTCTGGCTCAGCTGTCGACCTGGCTCGAGCCCCTTGCCGTAAGCATCCCGTCAGGGCACCATCCATCCAGGCGCAGGAACGCAGCCCGCAACGGAGACAGCGCCTCCTCAAAGAAAGCGGAGGCAAAAGGCGTTTCCTCAAGACAGAAAGTCCTAAGCCCCTGGAAGCACAAGGAGCTTCGCACAGTTCGCAATGCACGGCACCCCTGAGCCCGCACCGAGCGTCCTCGTCCAGCGTGTCGGCTGCCACAATGAGAACTGTTCTCACCAAGCAACTTTCAGCACAAAAAGCTCGTAGCCGTGGAACAAAGCTCTCCAGGCGCGGAGAGGAGCCCCACCACCTTGAGCGTGCTCAGAGCCAAGCAGCATGCACGAGTCAAATGGAATGAAGGGTATGCAAGCAAGACACCAGGGCCATGCATGGGCCATGCATTGGGCCATGCAACAAAATTGGAGACCGGACAACGCATTCCGCCAATTTGGACATGGCGGGCTTGGGAGCGCACCCGCCGGCTGGCACCCTGGCAGCAGGGCAGACCCCTGCGGCTCTGCGCGATCTTCCTGGAGATGACGGTGACTCTTTCCCTGAGCTCGCAAACAGACCGTTCAATCAAGAAATCAAGCCATGGAGAACTGGGGCTGGGGACGTGCAATGCCCCGCCCGAAACAGGAATCAAACCTGTTTGGTCCTGGAAATGCTGAAATCAAAGCAAGGCTCCGCCAGAGTCCTTCTCTGGCCGCTTGGCTCTGGGGCTGCTGTTCTTGGCGATGCTTGAGGCGGTTGACGACTGGACCGACATTGTCCCTGAGGAAGCTCGAGATATCGAAGGCTTCTTGTCTTTGTCCTCTTTCTTGCGACCTTGCTGCGGCAGGGCTGGTAAGTCTTCGAGGCATGGAGCACGAGGAAACCTGAAAACGATGCTGGGAAACTAGCGTTCTGCTCTGGCTTTCCGCGCTGGCACATTCCCCTTCCTGGCACCGATGCCAACATTTGCTGCCTCTCCGCCTCTCCGCCTCTCTGCCTCTCTGCCTCTCTGCCTCTCTGCCTCTCTGCCTCTTTGCCTCTCTGCCTCTCTGCCTCTCTGCCTCTCTGCCTCTCTGCCTCTCTGCCTTTCTGCCTCTCTGCCTCTCTGCGCACGCCTGGCTTGCACAAACCATGCGTGTCGCAAGGCTTTCTCGGCCGTGAACGACGCATCTCGCTCAGCTCCTGACTGTTTTCCTGACTGTCTTCCCCGCAGGTTTCTGTAAACTCTTGAATCCATGCGGCTCATGTGTCAACCAATTTGCGCAAGTTTGTTCGTGCCACTTGGGATTGGTGCATGAGACAGGGGAGCTCCTGCACAGCGGGCCATGAGGTCCGCTGCAGCCCTGCTGACGCTGACTCCTAGGCCACCTTCACTGTAAACGAAGGTGCTTGCGGCCTGGGTTCACGAGCGTGAATAAGTACTTGAATGCTTTTGTAGGGCGAAACAGCAACGCGAAACAGCAACGAACAACATCCATCCCGCTATATCCCGCTTCTCCGGCCTTGGTGGTGTTGGCCTCTCTCAGCGAGGTGCCCTTCATGCCGCAGCACCAGCCCAGCAAAGCCTCGGGCTCATCCAAGTCTGGCGATGGAACCCTTCGCTACGCATTCGGGAAAACACCGCTGACGGCCAGAGTGCCAAATTTCCCGCCGTTGGGCGTGTCAAGGTGTCCACGGGGGGCCTTGCAAGAGTGAGCTTGGAGGCGAGCGGAATGGAGCGGAGAAGAGTGGAGCATGTGACTGTGAGAAACTCAATGACTGACTGGCTAACTGACTCACTCACTCTCTGACTCACTGACTTGAGGGCGGGAGTCAGGGTGAGGGGAAGGGGGAGGAAGAGGAAGGCAGAGGGTAAAAGTGCGAGTGGAGGGTGAGGGTGAGAGTGGGAGTGAGTGAGGGTTGGCATAAGAGTGAGTGAGGGTGAGGGTGACGGCGTGGGTCGGCGTAAGAGTGAGAGTAAGGGTAAGTAAGAGTGAGACTGATGGTGAGGGTGAGTGTGAGGGTGAGAGTCACGAGTGAGGGTCAGGGTGAGAGTCAGGGCGAGTTTAAGAGTACGAGCGAGGTGAGAGCAAGAGAAAGAGTAAGGGTGAGAGTAAGAGTGAGAGTGATAATGATGGTGAGATTAGGACAAGGGTAAAAGCAAAAGTGAGGGTGAGAGTAAGAGTAAGAGTTAGGGTAAGATTCAAAGTAAGAGTGAGGGTGAGGGTGAGCGTGAGGCTATATAAAGGGGGTTTAGTGCCTGGTAGCAGCTTGCTATTCATTCCGCAGGGCTTTCTGTTGGAACACCTGGCGTATCTTTTGGATGCCTGGCTCTGCCTTGAGGCTTTTCTGTGCTGTGGGTCCCCCGCCCGCATCACCAGGCCCGCAGAAGGCAGGTCGTGGGTGCGCTGCCCCGCATGCGAACCGAAGTCGATGAGCTTCGTGACCTCAAGCGTTGCTTCAATGTGGCCCTGGCCTCGCCTGCCCTCACCCGTCGCTGAGTCGATGAGGCCGGGGCGTTCTGCTCTGGGGGCTTGTCAAAGTGAAGCATAAGAACCTGCAGGGCAAACGTGTCCCCTGCTCTTGGATGGGGCCTTGGAGCTCGGCATTCGCCGGGCAAACGTCCCCATGGCTCAAAGACTTTGTACAAAGGTAGTGCAAGGCTCCGAGAAGTTGCCACCTGAAATCCCGATCAAGTCATCAAGTCCATCAACTCGCGGCCGAATCAGGTCATATCAGATGTCATAGGTCCATAAGGCGCAAGCATGATGACGGCAGCAGCGGCCTTCGCTCACCGGTTGAGCACGAGCTCAGTTGAGCTCACGTGTTCACGCGCGATCACGCGCAGCCAGGCTCCGAGCTTCCTCTAGCGGCGGCCAGAATTCTTTGGCATAGCTGGGCAGCGGACCACCTGCCATGAAACATCCCTCCCCTCCGATGGCTCACAGATCACAGCCCATATCGAAGCCTGGCCCAAAATTTCAAAAGCCTCAAAAAGCCAACCATCTCTCTTAAGGAAGTTGAGTTTGGGTCTGAGTTTGTGCCAAAGTAATGTCCACCAAGCCATCCCAAGATCTCCCAAGGCTTCACCGGCCTTGGGCCCTCAGGCCTCCCGGCCTCGGCACAGCTCCACGGCAAGGTGCACATCGATGGCGGATGGCTCCTTCCCGACTTCACTTCGAAAGTATCTTCGCATCCGTACACGTCCATGTCTTCCGATGTCTGCCAATGATCGGTCCGATGTCTCCTGGCCTCGAAAATCTCAAAAACTCGAACAATGTTCGGGTGGTCAAGCTTCATCATGAGCGAGATCTCGAATCCTGCACAGGCCCCTAGATGCAAACAGTCAACAGTCAGATGCAGCCTGAGGGATCTGACTGCCGGCTTGTGATCTTGATGGCACGCTTCTCATGGGTGCGCCTGTTGCTTGCCTCCCATTTCCGGATCTCGGATCTGAAGATATCTGAAAGTGTCCGAACGTCGAACGTGCTTGCAACGTGCCTGGACCACACGGCCAACACCGCCCTGACCCAAAGTACGCTCCACGGTGTAGGCGCTGCCGACCTCAGGCAAGGTGCGAGGCAAAGGAAATGTATGAGAGGCCGCTCAAGTTACTAAGCCGGGCTCCAATGATTTGATCCGGAAAACCAAGTCTGAGCGGCAAATCATCGAACCTAAAGGGTGGCGTGCTGTGGCTTGCTGACATCTGAAAGCTGTTGACGGGCCTCTGAGGAATTTTCAGCAAGCGCCATGGGAGCATGGAGCTGCCTTCGGTCCTGTAAAGGTCTGTCTCGTGGCTCGCCTCCTGGGAAACGTGTCTTGGGAACCATCCCTCATCCTTCAGCCTTTGCTTGACAAAGACGGACCTTGAGCCCCCCGTCGGACAACTCAAATGCCATGCAGCAAATAAGCACACAAGTGACACAAGTTGCACAAGTCACACAAGTTGCACAAGTCGCACAAGTTGCAAACATGCACTGCCACGTTTTCGACGCCGGGCATTCCCAGACCACCTGATCACTCCAGCGTCCCCGCTGCGAGCAATGTGACCCTTCCACACCTGGCAGCAAGTACTCGATGGCGCAACGGTAGAACCTCGGCTTAGGCAGTTTTCACTCCTTCATATATATATATATATGTGTGTGTGTGTATGTATATGTATATTATACAATATACACATCTCATTCTCGCATCTCGGAGGCACCTGCGCCAGTATGCCCCTGGCTCGACTGTCACTTGCCAAGCTTCTGCAGATGCCTGGCGCATGGCCTGCACAGCTGAAATGAAGCGAGCTTCCAATGCAACGATGCAACGATGAGAAAGTCAGACCTTCCGCGTGCTTTGGAGGTCTTGTGGAGTGGTCTGCCACAAGAGCTGCAACCTTTGGTTCGGAGGCGGACTCGCAGGTTCAATTGGCTTGACATGGCGCGTGCACGTCCCAAGGGCGTGGCAAATGGGCAATCGAGCTGAAGCGATAGACATGTGGCAGCAGAATATAATTTGCCGTCCCCTCAGGCCAAGCCCTTCTCGTAAACGCAGGCAAGCAAAGCAAGCAACACGGCTTGGCCCAAAACCACTGCTTGCCGCAAAAAATCTGGATCTTTGGAATCACGGCCTGAGATTTGACGTGTTTGCAGCGACTCGGTGTATCCACTGACCGAGTTGCCTTTTCCGATCTTTTTCGCGCCTTCCTCCCTCTCCTCTAAGTGTTGCCCCTAGGCTGGCACCAGCGTAGGCTGAGGAGTTGCCTCATGCGGAGACCGCGTGCCCGGCGATGCAAGGCCATGCGAGGCCAGGACGTGAAGCCCAGCCCCAGCCTGGCTTCGGCGTTGGGCCTAGCTTTCTTAGCTCCGCTTTCCGCTTAGCTGACGCGAAACTCTTGAGCTCGGGTTCTCTTAGATTCTAGTAAATAGCTATTAGCGTCATGGTCACGTTGGCTATGGTCATGCGGCCTGGATCCCACGGCGGTCTGTCCACGTCCGCCCGCGCATACTGCAAGTGGGCGTGCTCCTGTGCACGACAAGCGCTATCAGGCTCGTAGGGTTGCCTGCACCGTGTGCTGCTTCCTTCCGGAGCAGATACCAGGGGTAGTTCTTGGTGCTCTTCAGGAAGGTAAATGCCATATTCTCCACCAACCTCAGTTCCCAAGCGCATCTCAGCTTCAGTGGCGCAACCACTTTTTGAATTGGCTGAGCATTGTGCTGCTGCTGTGGCATGAACATGGGCAGGCTGATGGCATACAGGTCCTTCAGTCTCGAGCCCTCTTTCGCTTTCCGACTCTCAAGGCCAGGCAAATCGTACAGTGGAGGCGCATCAAAGGAGATCATGCCGACATCATGCGGGAACAGCACTGCTGCCGCAAAGCGGGAGCCTTAGTCAAGGCGGCGCAGGCTGAAGCAAACTGCCGATTGGGGACGCTGACCTGAGCCCTGAGCCAAGATCAGCGTAAGTCGTAATGGAATCTTGGCACACGGCGTCTCATAGCGCCACATGGCGCCACGTCGCACTACGCTTCACTCCTGGCAGCTGGGTGCCGGGCCGTGCGCCGGCAAGGCGAACACTTTGCGACCTGGGAAAGGTGCTGAAACATTCAAGACATTCAATCTGCAGCCGGCTCACCTTCCTTCTTGGCCGGCAGTTTTCTCACATTCTTGAAGGCGAGCCCTGCAGCTTGGCTTTGCGCATTGCACTGGCGCACAAGCGCGCTCCGTTGTTCTGGTGGAATGCGGACTAGCCAAGCCAGTAGAGCATTAACGAGTGGCACGCAGAGGAGTAAGGCATGCGCTGTATGGAAAATCACTGCTGTCAGGGACCTTGCGCCAATTCGAAAGGCCTTCTACCCCAGCCGAAAGCGGCCAGGTTCCGCACAAGCTGCTTCAGGAAGCGCCAGAGGCAAATGGTGACGTCTGGCTTCAAGGCCCTGCGCCAACCCTGTTCACGCAGCCCGGACGCTTGTGGAGGCCGTGGCACATGGTTCTGCCAAAAGAGGACATCCACCTGGCTCACTTTGCTAACTCGAGGGAGAGAGAAAGAGACCAAGACAGAAAGAGAGAAAAAATAAAGAGCAGAAAATAATCAGAGAGAGTGTTGCATCCCGAATTCCGGCCTGCGACAGCGGAGCGTCAGTCCTGCCATTGGCGATGGTGTACCTGGTGACGCCACGCACGACGGACGGGCTCCCCCGCAGCCCGAGGCACCAGTTGTGGTTGCGCACAACCTCAGGCAACCAGGACGAGCAGGTGTGGCAGATCTACAAATCATCTGCCAATCTACTTTGTGCCCATCCCTTCCTGAGACACAACAGGAAGAAGGCGGCCAGTTTGCTCCTTGGCATGCACAAGGACAAGAAGCAGATTGAGAAGTTGGTCACTTTGAGCTGACAGCTAGGCGTGTGGCCCAAACTTGGCGCTGCAAGTAAATCAGAGATGTGCTGATGACAGTGCGCCCTACGTCGGGTCTGCTTGGAGGCCGCTCTGCAATTTGAAGTGCCATGTCCAAAGTCACAAAAGCGCCTTGCTGCTGCAAGGATGGCCTTGTCATTTCCTGAAGTGCATGCGACGGCCGACAGCTCGGACACTCGGACGCTCGTGGGCGCGCCCGGAACAGAGCCACCAAGAGCTGCCGATGCTCGCCTGCGGGCATAGCATACATCGCCTAGGGCCTACAGCGCCTGCGCAACTTGCAGACTGAGCTTCAGGCTGGGCATGCGGAAAGTGAGCGGCGCCTTGCGGCAAGCCAAAGGCGCCAAAGGCTACAGCACCACTCCTGTAAAGAGCACCCTGGGTGCCCTGGGAGCCTGGAGCGTGACAAGCATTGGCATCTCCGACACCTTGGACATGCATCCTCCCAGTTGGGGGCCAGTTGCCAGTTCTGAGCTGAAAGCCATGCGAAGTAGAAGGCAAAGAGTGGGCCTGGCCAAGTTGATCCAAGATGTTTGGCATGAGAGAGGCGGGCAGAATAAGGTTCGCACGAGCCACCGCCACCGCATATGAGGCAGTGCGATTCCTGAATGAACCTTGTTGCGCCAAAATGGGGCAGATTTGCGCTACCCAGCCGTGCTACGCTGGCGTTGTGCATAGCCAAGTTGCTTATTGGAGGCAACGACTTCGGCAAGCTCGTCCAAGATCTCAGCTCATGTTAAGGCACATTCTTTCACAAGAGCGCTGTTGCCGACTAAGACCAAAGGCTGTGCCCAGTGGCCTGGTAACCAGCTTGTTCCTCAAAGGCAGAATCATGGCAAGTCTTCTCAAGGCAATGTTGGGAGTTTGGCCACCAGTCATCTGAAGGATAGGTCGAAGTGAAGCAAGACAGCCTAAGGTTGGGAGGCATGGCAGCGGCCAGTCTGAGTCTGGTCAGGCTCTGAACCACTGGGATGCTGGGCAGACCTTTGCAGGTCGGGTGACTGATGGTGACCAGTGACCGGTGACTGGTGACGCGAGACCGGCCTCCGCCAGGAGCATCTCCGCGCTGGGATGCGTTGCCCCGAAGAGCGCCATTGCCTCTGGACTCCCGACTCACTCGAAGCCGCAAAAGTCAAATTCGTTGCAAAAGGCTAAACGTTATTCCACTTAAAGAATCGTGGACTTTCTGACAACTTTTGAGGCTCCCCCCGAGGCGCCAGCCAAGCCCACCTCCTGGGCGCACGCGGGTGCACGTGCTGAGAAACAGTGGCCCCGCAAATTTCCCAGCGCCCGGCATCCGCCAAGGTTTTGCGGAGGGCCTAAAGTGAGAGGCGGCATTCTCAAGGTCTCCCTACTGCTTTACACCCATCCTTACCCCTCTTTCCCTCCTCAACTCCTTTACCCTCTTTTACCATCTTTTGCCCTCTTTTTGCACCTGTCAGTTAGAGGAGACCATGCCCAGTTTTCCCTTAGCTATGTCCCCGCGCGCCAAGGTGTAATATATAATGATAAAATGTGAAGACGTATCATTATACATTTCTCATTGTTCGTTGTTGTTCTGTTCTGTGCTTTGTTTGAGGTTGTTTTGATGTGTAAGGGATTTTTTGTGTTGAGACTTTTTATATTTTTTGATTTCATAATTACACACAGGGCAGGTGATAATAATGTCCTTCTTTCCTTTGAAATATTCCTTATTCTTTTCTGCAATTTCTTCTTTGTGGTTCTGATAGTATTGTTTCTTCGTTTCTTGGTAATATTCCCGACATCTATGATATCTATTTCTACCCTTTTCTCTACATTTTGTGTTATCAAGCCTAGGCCACCTAAGGTAATACCTAGGCAAGCAGCAAACCGTTGACTACTTTTCACACTGCTGATAGTGCTCTTGAAGTCTGTAGCGGCGGAGCATGTACAAGGTACACTCATGCACAGGGTTGGAACCTGAATCCACACCCCCCTCATTTGAGATTGAGCAACAACGAAAATGTCGGCAGGTTTTGCAACCCGCTTTGATTCCATACGCACATCCATTGCACGTTGAAAATGGACATTACACATCCGTCGTGCATGCAAATTGCTACTCTCTCTCAGAAGGGCTCCGTTGTGATGAGGATTGCATTCACCACCTTCCGCTAGTAGACCAGCCGCGCGAACTCCAGGTCGACCACTGCCAGCTGCTCCAGTCCTGACTGCTCCAGTCCTGACTGCCCCAATCTCTCCAGCTTCGGCTTCTGGCAGCGGAGCTGGAGGCGGGCTGAGCAGCTTGCACAGGTCCGCGGGCGCGGTCCTCGGCGCTTTGCCTTTGGCTGCGCCGTGCGAGCTTCTTCGCATCGTCCTCCGCCTGGCCGCAAATCTCCTTGACTTCAGCTTCGAGGTCCACGGCTCCGGTTGCCCGGAGCGTAGGGAACTTCGCGCCAAAGGTGACGAGATTGCGCATCCCCGGGAGGATGTTGACCTGGTCGACGAATTGATGAAGACTCAGCATTTTCCCGTTGTACGAGAATAGCCATGGAAACTCAAGCAGGCTGGCGTCATAGTCCCCGACCTTGCCGCCGGTGACGTAGACGGTCCTCACATATTGGAGACCTCGTTTTCCATAGCGTGGCCCAACCCCGAGAAGTCGTTGATCATAACTCCGTGGAAATTCGGGGAGGACACAAAACCTATAGATAGACATCTGGTAGAGGCTGTCGCGGTTGTGCCCTTGCTCCACCATGCGAAGGGCGAAGGTCGCGTCTTTGTCAAACCGATCTACCACATTGTCGTATCCGAGCTTGCGGGCCCTGCTGTCGTAGTTCTTCGAAGCCTCGATCTGCTTGGCTTCAAAGGATGTTGCTCCTCTCTTTGCAACATCGGCATAGCCCTTGAAATCATTGATGAGGAGCTGGTCAACCGTCTTGCCGACGCGGTGGCTCACCTCCTCAAGCATCTGCGTTCTCCGCTTTGCGGCTCTGAAGAGCTGAACGTCGTTGTTCTCCTTGGTGCTCCGTCCACAGCGCTGACACTTGAGCTGCCCCTGCATCATGTCCTCGCCGCAGAGGCTGCAGTCCGTGTAGTGGACGGGCATCGCAAAGGTCTTGAAACGGACAACTGAGGTGTCGGCCGCGGGTTGCCCCGGGCAAGAAGCGGCCGTATCCTCATTTGTCTGCTCTTCTTCAGGATTTGTGGCCCTGTTCCCCTCCGCATCGGTCTGAAAGGCCTCGTCTGCAGTCACAGTGACGGCTCGCCTTGCGGCGAGCATATCGACAGTCGTTTGATTCTCCAATGCCTCAAGACGAAGGGCGTTCCTCCAAAGCACTTCTCCGGTCTTCGCGTCTGTGTAGTACAGAATGGAGTCATTGGGAACGATGTCGTTGGTCAGCATGACATCAGACTCGGAAAGGAAAAACACCACTCCGAGCTCAATCGCATACTTGAAGTCGATCACAAGCTCAATGGGCATCGTTGCTCGGACTCCAGCATTATACGATGAGCTCTCTACCGGGTGGATGGAAAAATGGCTTTGCGAGCGGCCACTCTCCGTGGCACCAACGCCACCCGGGACCAAACCTGTCCTGACGATGTTCTCGGCTGCGTTCTTGCTCGTGCGATGGTATAGTTTGCCAGGGCCATCATCAACCGGTGAAAGTTGCAGTCCAACCTTGCGAGCGTCCTCCGGGAGAAACTTCCCATAGACGGCCTTCGCAAGTGCATACTGGTTCCGGCTGATGTCGCCATCAGCATCAACGCTGCTGGCGTGTCCCTGACTGGCACGAACCTTGATGACAACCCACTCCTGGTTGTTCTCGGCAGCCGAAGGGTGCTTGATCGCGAGGACGGTGTATCTGCATTTCGGATCGAGTGCAAAAATCTTCAACAGCGTTTTGTACCCGATATTGCTGCGGGTCTTTCTGTTGAATTTGTCACATAGCTGATGGACGTCGACAAAATAGTTCTCATCGAAATCGAGTGGCCTCTGTTCTTGAAACCTGCCACGAAGCATACCAGATATGGTTGTGCACCGATCGGTAGAGGACGTTTCTCCCTTCATGAAGTTGGGCACCTTCAGGATCGTGCCCGGGAGAATCCTCGCCTCATACTCCTGGCCGCGGAAGATGACGGTTCCGCCGGGCTTGCCTGGCAATGCGCTTCCGGCAGGGGTTGCCCCCCGCACATCCGACGCCACCGCAGCAGTTGATGGTTTCGCCTGTACCTTAGGCGATGGTTTCGCCTGTACCTTAGGCGATGCTTTCGCGGTGAACTTGGGTGTAGCCGGAGCGGCCTTGACGCCAAGCGCAGCCTCAGCGGCACTCCCTTGCGGGAGTGCATCATCGTCATCATAGTCGATCTCCTCCTTGATTTCGACTTCCTCGATCTTTTCGAGGATGCGGCCCTTCGCGAGCTTGATCGGACGTTGAAGGCTTTCCCATGACTCAAGAGTGAGCTTCCTGTTCGCCTCATACTCGGCCAAAGTGTTGGGGTTGAGTCCAGCTTCGGCGTCATGAGAATATTCAAGGTACAACCTGACGTTGTTGAAATCTTCTTTGTGGGACTCAACGACAGCGACACACTTCATGACGTTGTACAACGACCACAGCCACTCCACCGTCGTCTTCCGGTTCTCGATGGAGTCCATCATGTGATAGTTGTCAAGCCGGTCCTGACGAGATACCAAGAACGTCGACTCCTTCTTGCGAAGGAGCTTGTGCTTGTTGAGCGACTCATCCAACAACTTTTCCATGAACTGGTTGTAGATGGGCGGGAGCATATAGTACGAACCCTCGGTGTTGGCCAAGATCGTGATGTTTGCAATGCTCCACCAACTCCTGCACTCCTCAAGCACATCGATCGCCTTGGCGCACTTGTTGAACAGCTCGGGCCAGTGACCGTCTCCGCAACGGTATGGCCATTCGGGCTCATCGCAGATCCCACCACTGCCAACGAGCTCGTTCCCGGACCAGTACACCGTCACGTAGAAGTCGTGGTCCTTAAACTCAGGGCGCTTCTTCAAGTCCTTCATGGCGCTCTTCACTGTCCACGTGAGAAATGTGAGATCCTTTCCCCAACACATTCTCACCTCACAGTGGCTACAACCAGTGCTGCGGTTGTAGTTCATGTCCTGCGCCAAATCCGCCCTCTTGCGGTTCTTCTTGCCACCGCTGATGAGGGCGAGGCTGGAGTCACTCACAACAAGGTATACGCTATTCCGGCCACAGGTTGCCCCGGGCGTGATGCGGCCAAGACCTTTGTCGTTAACGGCGCAGAGCGTATCCATGAGCTCCGGCGCGTAGTCAGCCGCCCACATAGCGCATGAACTCTGAAGGGTGGCCTGTGCTCCGAGGATCTGCTCCATTGTCTTGCGATCCTCAGGCCTCGTCTCCTGGAACAAGGTGTTCGACGTGAAGCTCGTCATCACACCTCGCCAGTACTCCAAGTTGCCCTGCTCGTACTCCCCGAGATTGTAAGCAGCCATTGCGGCTACCGGTGAGGGAAGCTTAAGAGCAACAAGTGCACGTTTTGTTGGTCTCTGAGCCGAGCTATCGGTGACAACCTGTTTCATGCTGTCAGCAAACTCAGAAAAACATCCATGGATCAGGTCAGTCATTTCATACGTGTAAGATTCAGCACGTTTGAGGGCCGCCCCCCTGGACTGTCCATGCTGATGATCCTTTGTGCACTTATACTGTTGCAGTTTGGCCAACGATTGACAGGAAGAAGCAATAGTCCATGACTTTTGCAACAAATTTCCATCCTTGTCAAGGACACCAAACATGCAACCATCGCAATTATACTTGACCATCTCATATTTCATAAGGAAATCATGCACGAAATAGTTCTTCCAATAACTGCAGAGCTTAGGAAGTTCCATGTTGATCACAAGCACAATGTCAAGCTGTCGAAGCATAGTGATAAGTTTGTCCAAACGCTTCAGCAGTTTGCGAAACAACGCCTTGTGCTCCTGGATCTTGGCTTGACCTTCTTGAGTCTGACCATTGATATTGTTCCAGGGGCACCCACCCGTACACGGAAGTGAAGCATGAAGCATCACGCAGGGCGGCGTTTTGGACTTGACATTCTTCCTGAAAAGTTGCACCGCATCAAATACCCATTTCAATGTATCAGCAACCAACGCATTCTGACGCTCAGTTACTCTAAGCACCTTGCAACCAAATGCTGGTAATCTTGATTTGTCGCCGAGCTTGGAATCATCAGAACAGCAAAATTCGCACAAGAACCGATTATAGGTTTCATGCGTGGAAACGGCGGAAGCTTGCGCCTCGCTAGTGGGGGCTGGTTTGATTGTAATGTTTCCATCCAACTGCACCCACCGTACTCCAAT